TTCTTTTTTTTTCTTTTTTTTTCCTGTAACGTCCATTTGATTTTGGAGGGGTTATTAGGGATGTGACGCATCAGTGCTTTTGGACAACTATGGAGACATTGTTAGCGAGAAGCTAGCAGTGCCTAACCTCAACTCTATACGAGGTTTTGAGGTTATTGACAAGATTAAGTACATTTTGGAGGAAGCATGTCCCTATACCGTTTCTTGTGCTGATATTCTCACCATTGCTGCTCGTGATTCTGTGGCCTTGGTATAACTACAGACATACTACTCTCTTTATCTCTCTCATTTCTTTTTGTACAAGCAACCCCAAAACAGTCATCTTTGAGTAAAAAATCAGTACCTAAAAGTACGGATAACATAAAGGTCGCCTCACATGGTAAAGTCTAAAGTTCTGAATTCCTACTACCTCCAACAACTACATTTGTCTTTCCTTTCATTTCATAACCCTTATCTTACATTATAATTTAATTCACTAAAAAGGAATTATTTTGTTGAAATAGAGAGGAGGGCCAAGATGGGAGGTGTGGTTGGGCAGGAGAGACTCGCTCAAAGCAAGCTTTGCCGGTGCAAACCAGTTCATTCCTGCCCCAAATTTCACCCTGCAGGCTCTTATTGCCAGCTTCAAGCAACAAGGCCTTGACATCGGAGACTTGATTGCCTTATCAGGTACTTTTCAGTTTACCCTGATGAACCCATGCCTAAAATTTATCAGTACATATCCCCTCCCCAAGTCCAGGTAAAATGAATTTTACAGAGTGGAACACCATGCAAAACAGGTAGCCACACAGTGGGAAAGGCAAGGTGTACGAGTTTTAGACAAAGGGTGTACCAACTAAGCTTGCAGGAAGAACATGATGTGTACAGAAAGTATAAGACTTTCAGGAGGATCCTACGATCAATATGTCCGAGTTCAGGAAGGGATAATCAATTGGCACCATTGGATTTTGCTACTCCAGCTCGGTTTGACAACCATTATTTCATCAACCTGCTTGAAGGGAAAGGGCTGTTAGGGTCAGATAATGCGTTGGTATGGGAAGATGATGAAGGGGAGGTAGTACAGCAGGTGTGGGCTTATGCCACAAATCAAGAGCTTTTCTTTGAATCATTTGCCAATTCAATGGTGAAGATGGGTAACATCAATGTCCTCACAGGAGTTGAAGGAGAAATTAGAAAGAACTGTAGGTTTGTGAACTAAGGAAGGCTTTCAATGTTTATGACTAGACACAATTCACGTTGCAGTCTAGATCTCTATAATTCGGTCATTTCAGTGGACGGTGAAAATCATGTCAAAAACTCAAAAATCTGGACTACATGTCCACCTCTCTTTTTAAAATCAAATTCAAGTTAGCCGGAAAAGAATAATAAATAGCTATAACACCTCAAAAAAATTAATAACTAGCTATAATGATCAAAGCCAATACTGAAATCAGAATTCACCAATTTCATTTGGAGATACCTAGGCAAGAAACACACCAGGCAAAGCAAAGTTCACAGCTGTAGAAAGCATTATCACCAGCAATGTGAAAGTTCAATGTGCTCAACCACCAAATTTGAACCATTCAATTGTCAGTAAAAGCATTATCACCACAATGTGAGAGTTTACTGCCATGGTACAGAAACCAAACAAACCCAGCAATTACAAGTAAAAATACACATATATACCCTAAAATCTCTAGTGGATGGCAGGTTAAATAGCAATCAAAACCTGTCGGGATTCATGTTAACATCACTGTTTATTCAGTGGATTGACAAGCTTATGAATTGCTATCTTCACCTCACATTCCTAGAAACTTTGTGGAGAATTTAGAGAATGGTTTTTCTATTTTGTGCACTACAACACAAGGATAAGGATAGACTAATGATTATTACTTTTAACATCACTTGACAATGCTTTCTACAGCTAAACCATAACCAAAAAAAAAAAAAGACTGTCAAAAACACATTACAAAAAAACTGTTTGAAGAGGGTGTATTTCTCCATCAATTTGTATAAGAGAACAAAGCTGATATTAATTTAAACACCACTACAAAGTAGATGACTTTAATTTGGTAGTTGATAAAATTAACATTCACTTTTATTTTTCCTACAAAAATTAATAATAAAAAATACAATAAATGCACCCTTAACATATACAAGTTAAGAATGTATTTATTGCATTTTCTATCATTTGTTGTTATAGAAAAAATAAAAATTAACTACAATTTTATCATTTTATCATCCACATGCCATTAGTGCTAATATGTTAATATAAACTTTATATTCTCTCAAATCTTTATACTAGGTGATAAGATCTCCATTTAAAATTTAGTATGATCTAACATTTGTAGAACATGTTAAATTTTAAATGGAATTCCTAATACCAAAAGGAAATAATCCTAAAAATTAAAATAAACCACTTTTTTATGAAAAAAACTTAAAAACACTTACATTTATTAAGGATATTTGAATAATTTCACAGATAGTCATGACATTTAAAATGCTAAGATGTCCTAATAATTTCACAGATGTTTGAAACTTGATTTTGAGAGAAGCAACAAATCATTGAATCTAACCTTCATAAATGAAAGGCCTAATTTCAATATAATTTCATTCTGAAAATTTTCAACCTCCTTATCATTTTCCTATCAAAATAGTGATTAAAATGTTCACAAGTTACATTTTAAGGAAAATGAATAAGAGGCCGAAATTTATCAGAACAGATCTACAAAAAATATAAAATGACACAAAATTCCAACCAAAATTGATTAAGGATATAGATTTAATACTCATGAGATACAGCAAGAAACTGGCAAAAATGTATGTTCCCAACCATTTATGGGCGGATACAGAACCTCACAGTAGGGACACTAATTAAAATATCAGAACTCAGAGTAACAACTAGATACACTCTAGTACCTGAACAAGGGCATCAGCTGAGTAAGGAATAGCATCAAAATACATATCAGACGCAAATTACCCATTAAACTTAAACTCTCATCACTTGCCCAACAAATTTGAAAGATTGGCCTCAAGATAAAAATCTTACCTTCATATCACCTATACTCTAAGACACTGTGAAACAATAATAACTAGCCACACCAGTTATCCAAACATAGTTCAATAGAAATCAACAAATGTGCATGAAAAATTACCCAAACCCCATACCATCTGACCAAATGCCTTTACCACCGAGCTATGACAGGCAATGTAGACATCAGCTACTAGTGATAAAAGCACTTTCAAAGATAGCATGAGCTAAGAGGTCAATTCTTCAATCAAATGAGGCAAATGAATATAAGGACAGAGGCATCAGGTCTCCAAGGTGATATGGCATCAATGAAAATTTCAGACGCAAATTACCCATAAAATATGAGATTCATCACATGCCCCGCAAATAAAAGCAACCATAATTTACGTGAAAAGCTACCACTTTTTCAAATACGAAAAAAAAGAAAAGGCTTAAAACTTTAAGAAGATGGGAGGGCTTAGAGCTGCGATCAGAACCTGTCGGGATTCATGGTAACATCAAACTGTAATAACAGATCAGTGGATTGACAGACTTATGAATTTCTATCTTCATCTCGCAGTCCCACCCCCATTGTAAATCCCTCAAAAGAGCACAAACAAAAGAACACGACTTTAATAACAAAAGAGAAAAACCCAGATCAAAAATGAAAACTTAAGCATTAAACGAGCTCAGAACTTCTTAGAGGGATGTGTTACCCATCACTGATGACCTCTGGTACACAGAGTAGATGTTCATCACTGCATCGTCTTCGAGACAAAGATTAAGAAAAGTAAAAGCATCTACATAAACCAGAAATCTAAAAAATGCCGAAACTACTTTGGAATTACTAACCTAGAGTTTTATGTAAGCTGGAGAGTTGAGAGAGGAAGCATGCGGCTGAGTGACAAGAGGTAAGTAGAATATATAGATGCAATGAGAAAACCCTAACCCTAATCGTCTTGAAAATAAAATTGGAAATATATTTTTTTTAATTGAAGATACTTGGGCCCTAAAAGTGTCGAAAGAGTGCTTTGGACCGGGCTTGGATTGGATCCTAATGTCCTGCCCCTAATTATAATCATTTACTCTCTCATCAAATCTCAATAGTCCAGCCCAGTCCGGAGATTTGGACCTAACTTGATTATTATCCTAATTATAAACTCAAAAAAAAAAAAAAAAAAAAAAAAAAAAAAAAAAAAGGGTTTGTTCGATCGACTGGAAAAGGCTAGTTTTGATTAGACCTTTTCAAAGTTAAAAGCAAGATGCTGCCAGTTTGAAAAAAGACACTTTATCTGTAATTTTTATACAATTAAGTTTGATTTTCTTATTTTAATTTTAAAGACAAGGAATTTGATTATGTGATGTTGGGTTTTTCTAGAGAACTAATTGCAAGAATTAAACAAAAATAGTATTTGATTTTGGGTTGAGTGATTTTTGTTATTTTATTAAAGTGTGATTTTTTTTTAAGACTGAATTCAAGCAGCATGATCTTTTATTAAAAAAAAAAATTAAACAAAAACATATTAGCTTTCAATCTATGTCGTTGAATTAGCATTATTCCGTACAGGTCTTGGAGAAGCGAGAGATGCGTAAACGCAATTGAATTAGGCCACAATCATGGTGAGATAGGTAGCAGGTAGATTTATACACATAATGCATTATTATTATTATTATTATTTAATTTTTTTTAATTTAAATTATATTAAATTATAAAATATGAGTAATTAAATGAGAGAAGACCACTTGATTGATGATATTATAATGATACTTTTAATTATTAATGTTATATTTTTTATTTTAATTAATTATTATATTTTTTTAATTTAAAAAAATAAAAAAATATAATGTAAATATATAATAAGTAATTACATTAAAAAAATTATGATAATAATTCTATCTTTCCTTTAATATTGAGAAATAATAAGTATATAGTTTAATATAATTTACACCACATAACATAATATTCTTTTTTAATTTACTTTTTTTTTTTTCTGTTTATATAGTTATATTTGATTTGAAAGAAATGAGAGAGGTGAAGCAAGAAGAAATGAGTTGGATAGGTAGAGAATTGAAATGAAAATATAGAATAAATGAAGATTCTTCGCTTCTCCTTTAATTTTTCTTAAATAATTAAGATACAATTTTTGTAAGTTTTTTTAATATAATTTTATATATTATTCAATTTAATAATTAATATCTTTAGTTTTAATAAATTAATAATATTATATATATATATTTATTTAATAACATTTATAATAACATTTAAAAAATGTAAAGAAAATTGTAAATATCATTACCCATTCCTTTTTAGCAACCAAATAAAAATGCCACTCTGCTCCCTTCCATCCATTTCCCTTGTCCCAAAGCTACCCCTATGTATTGGTGTGGCGGGTATGATTGCGACTTTGATGATTAGGAGCATGGCTGGATTCATTTATTTTATATTATGCTCTAAATTTTCCTGGCCTACAAACACCGCATAAGAATTTGTGATCTTGTCTGGAGAATTTTGGAAGGAATAATCCCAAAATGGAAAATGAATTGAAGTTTCTAGTTCATACATACTAAAATTTAGGGTAGGGATGGCAACGAGTCTTAGGGATTTTTTTCCATCTCCATTTCTATCAATGACAAATATAGGGATTTTTATAGAAATTTTTGATAAAAATTAAAAAATGACTTCTGTTTCCATACT